ACCTTCATAATGTGATGAAGAGCTCCTGTAATGCGGCTCCCATGGGTGCCCAACTGACCTGAGCCTGTGTACAGTACTTGAATCCCCTGGTCTCGCTTTGTTCACACTGCTTTCCTGGGGACTCCATAGTCAATGATTGAATTGCCATGCAGCAGGTTGGTCATGTCAGTTGGTTGGAATGCAGGATGTGGTATTTTATCTTGGGTGTGGCCATACTGAAGAAGAAGGCCCAAGCCTACCTTGGGGATGAGGAAGCCCTGTACTTCAATGTCACGAGATGTCATGTGTGGTATATCCAATGGGATGATGTCCCCAAATCACTGCACCTCGTGAATCACAGGAGTCATAAAGGGCATGTGGGCCTGGTCCTCCATCACTGGAGTCCGTGTCTGCCCTGAGACTTCATCAATCTCTTGTTGGATGCGGCCTGAAAGAACAGCATCTCCTCAGCAAGGCAGTCACAGAGGACTGCCCCATGACCCTCCCGTGCCTCTGTTTGGAGGTCTAGGTCCATGGGAAAAAGGGCTATCACATTTGTGGAAGTTTCAGGCTCAGGAAGGGAGTCCCAAGAGTCCCAAGGAACTTGGGAAGTTTGTTCCACCACTCTTTCTGTAACCTCCCTCCGAGACCCAGCCAAGCTCACGCTGCACATCCGGGTGCCGGATCATGAGCAGCAGAGCCCAGGTTAGCGTGGTGGAGGTGGTCACCATCCCAGCAGAGAACAGATCAAACACCACCATGCGCAGGTTCTCATCATTGAAGCTGCTCTCAGGATTTCCCTTAGCCTGGGCCAGAGAGGGTGAGCTCAGGGAGAGAAGGAGGAAGCCCCACATGATCCCCACTGTCTCCAGGCAGCCCAGGGTCTCAGACCCTGAGTGATTCCCAGCTCCCACCCTGCCTGGCCTCCGAAGTCCTGGACACTTCAGCAGACAGCTCGGGCACCTTCCCTGGCAGTTTCCCCTAACCTTCTTCACTTCCGCTATAAAGGCATCAGTCAGATGTCTGGGTGGCTGGGCAGGATCCCAGGTCATCTTGTGCTCAGTCAACAGCTTATCCAGCATGTCCACAAATGTCTTCTGCTTAGGGAAGGCCTTGCCGGGCACCCCTGGGATGCGAAGGAGCATTGAGACTGCGTTCAGCACCTACATCAGCCACAGAAAAGATTCAGTTGCTTTTATGAATTGTGTGATTCAGTCTCATGAGCTGCTTCCTGCTCAGTCCCAGCGCTTAGGGCTCATGTCGACCTGGGCTAAGAGAGAGAATCCTGGACTCTGCAGTCTCGTAGGCTTCTGGAGCTTCTGTGCAGACACAGGGCACAGGCTCCACCCTTTCTGCAGCCCTTGAGCTTGGTTCCCTTCTCTCCTATACTGTGAGGTGTATCAAGTTCCAGGCCTTTCATCCTGCAGATGACTCTCCACACTGCCCTCAACCAATCTCCAGTGCACGCAGAATCTTTCTGGGAGGATCAGTGGCACAGAAATGACCTTGCAGACTCCCATGAACCTCATACCTCAGCAATGAAGCTAGTGTCCTCTCCTAAGCTTTGTGACATCGTTTTTAGCAACTTTATGAAGTAACGGTCTTCATGCTCTAAGCGAGGGCCACAAATGAGGGACGCAATCACATTGCACAAGGCTTTGTTCAGGGGTTGTGGGGATTGAAGGCCTGTCCTGGGAGTAGAGATGCATCTCAAGATACTGTTCCCATATCCCTGTCCATACATGTACCCCTGACCCATTACCCACTGGCCTCATTGTTGAAGACACCACGTAGGTGGTCAGACTCCTCGATGATCCACTGCTCCAGTGATTTCTTGACCAGGCTGAAGTTGTGCATGGTGGACACAGAGAATCCCTGCTCTTCTCTCCACTCAGGCCCTAAGATGCAAAGATCACACGTGCAGAGAGCAGTCTGTGTGACCAAGAGCACCTGGCTGTGCTGTCCTCCTTCCTTAGCATTCATTTTTTTCTCTTGGATCACTTTCCCACATGAGCTCCCCAAAACTTTGGTGACACAGACTACCACCTTTGATAGAGTCCTTCCTGAATCAGGTGACCATATCTCACCAGATTAGGCTCTATTCATGCGGCTCACTGCTCCCCAAGCCCATGCATTATGCCATCCTTGTCACCCCACTACAGCACTTTGCCTTGGGATCTGGGCCCCAGCCCAAGTGGTCATAGATGGGAATTCAAGGGCGGTCTGAGGTGTTCTCTCCATAGTTCCGGCACGGCCTTTGGTCCCTTGATCACCACCACTGGCTTCCAGGCCATCTGCAGGCTGAACACGTCACTAAAGCAGTGCCGCAGCTGAAGTGAAGGGTCAGAGCACATGTGATGTAGGGGTCAGCAGCACAGTATAAGAACCAGGCTCACTATAGAAGCCATTGCCAGTGTGTGTGCGTGCGTGTGTGTGTGCGTGTGTGTGTGTGTGTGTGTGTGTGTGTGTGTGTGTGTGTTGCTTGTTGAACCTTGGCCTTGACCTATACTAGGCAAATGCTTTACCACTGTCTGCACTGCCAGCCTGAGGTCTGATACATCATGACTGGTGCATCACATCTTATTAGTTCAGTAAAGGACTTGAACATGATCATCCAGGTGGGACCTTGCCAGAAAAAGCAATCTGTAGTCAGGCCCCTTAGCATCCCAGTGTAGCGGAAGGAACTCAGTTCCTAGAGATGTGCCGTGCGGGTGAGACATCGCAGCAGCATGAGATCTGAGCAGTGCAGAGCCCGCTCCACCTTGGGTTCCTGATGAAATGCTGCACTGTACACGGGACCCTGACTTCTCCCCATATCCCTGAGACTTCATCCACTGATGGGATCACAGGGACTTTGGGCCTCCGTGAATTCTATGCTGTCCAAATCCCAAACTGTCCTCCACATCCTGTCCCACCCCCGGCTCTGCCCTGCCCCCACTTTTGCCATGGAAAGTACAGAACGTTCCCAGACCTTGCAGTGCCCTCCCCCAGGAAGCCAGCTCCATGTCCAGCATGTTCCTTCAGGACCACTTGCAGTGCCCTCCCCCAGGAAGCCAGCTCCATGTCCAGCGTGTTCCTTCAGGACCACTGCTTGCTCCTAGGGGCACCGTCACTCTCACCTTGTACAAGCTGTATGGCATGTTCTGGAAGTCCACCTGCAGCAGGTTGCCCAGGCCAGGTACTGGCAGGGGGCCCGGTGGGTAGTGGGAAGTCCAGAACTTGTGTCGGTGCATCATGTCCACCAGCAGCAGGAAGATGGCCGTGAATACAGCCACAGACCACAGTGAATCCCCAGTCACCCACCCCATGGCTACCACACTGCTTTCTGGCTTCTCACAGAAAACTTCATGCCAGCCCCCTAGTACCATATAGGACACTCTTGCCACAGACTGGGTATCTGCTGCCTTACAAAGGAACCAAGGCTGCCCTTTGAACTCTACTCTGATCCTAACTCTTGTGTGTACTGGTGAGTCAGACTGTAAATCCTGGGCCCAGAGCAGTACAGGTACATCAACCTCAGAGGACTAGATCTCTGCCCCTTCATCTCTCCCCGGGTGCTTACCTAGAGAAGCGGCATCAAGGTTGGGAGCTGAGCACCACAGGAGCTGTGCATAGTGGTTATGCTGTGCTAGACACTGTAAGCATGGTGGGCAGCTGTCCAGGGACCCTGGTCCAAGGTGTATTGTCACGAGGCATAGACTATTCGCCTGACGTACTACACAGGCAGAGATTGAAGGGGCTTGACGACATTTCCTAAGGCTGGAATAAGCCCTTCCCGGAGGCCATGGTCGGCAGAACATGAGGGGCTGACTGGCACTGCAGGCCTTGCTCCCGGTTGTGGCGGCAAGTGCCACTGAAATGGCTTGTGTGGGTGAGGAAGGGAGCTGGAGCCTGGTGAAACTCAAGTGCAGGTTTGAGGTCACTGATTCGTCAGGGAGGTAACACCTATGACCTGTTCGTCTCATAGGTCCAGCATGAGAAGTTGAGAAATCTTCGGAGGTAGAGGATGGTCCAGGTCCTTGTCACATGGAGACCACTGTCCTTTGTTCACTTTCTGCCTATTACTGGGTCAAGTCTTCTGACCACAGTCATCTTACTAGGGATTTAAAGAGCATAGTCCTTCTCATGCCAGAGGCCTGTAGTTAGGATGTTCCAGTCATGAGGAAAACTGAAAGATGAGGCCTGAGTCTTACCACAGTCAGACTGTCTGCTAGGGCCTCTGCTGCACTTAAGCAGCAACTGGGATTTTGGCAGAGTCTGAATGGATTCTACCCACAGCCTAATAGCTTTCTGGAGCTAGAGGAGACTTTAATACATTTTAAAGTAGAACTGGTGGCATGGTTATTAATGGTGAATCTTATGGAGATCTACAATGAAAAAGAACAAGTGAGGCAGAAAGAAATACAGAATGTACAGTTTACATTGGAAAAGAGCACCAAGATTGTTGTGGAGCCAAGGCATGTGCTGAAGAAGAGGCTCTCTTAGATAAGGAGATTAAAGCCTTTAAGGAGAAACCTAGAGATTTGAACTTAATCCACGGAAAGGGTATTGGTTCTTCCTCATGGCTTTAGAGAGACGCTGAGGCCTGGCAGGGTGCACCTGGGACTTCCTACATAAAGAAGGTCCTGATAGGCCATTGCGTGAGCCTGTGAAGGGGAAGCCTGGTTGACCCTGGAGACACCAAGAAGCCATTGCAGATGCAGAGTCATGAGACACCTGTGAGCTGAAATAAATCTTTCCTACTTTGAGTTCTCTCAAGTACTTTGGTTTAGAACTTCCTAAAAGTAATGCAAGAGCCTGGGGGTGGGGTTCATTGCACCATAGTTTCTTGACACAAGGGCTTAGCTCCAGCACCAGAAAATAGGTGGTGTGTTGAGACGAATGCTAAAATGATGTTGACTCCTGTAGACATCAGAAGAACGTCCACACAGGAGTTGCTTGGTCTCACGTGTTCAAAAACAAACATCTGATCCCTTACGAACTGTGGGAGATTTTCACTAACATTCTGATTGAAAAGAATATCAGGCAGAAACTGTTTTTAATAAAAGTGTGTCTGTACATAGCAGTGCTATGTTTGATGAAATAATACATTAGTCAGTGCGTTGGGACCTGGGAATCTTATCTCGGAGGAAGTGGAGACCACATCAGCCTTGTGGGGTGCTCTGTACCTCCAGAACTCATCAGAGAAAGTGGAGACCACATCAGCCTTGTGGGGTGCTCTATACCTCCAGAACTCATCAGAGAAAGTGGAGACCACATGAGCCTTGTGGGGTGCTCTATACCTCCAGAACTCATCACACCACCACTCCCACTACACACTTTTGAAATAACAATCCAAGAGCAAAACCTGGTGGGTAAAGGATGATTTCAGAATGCTCTCTGAAGATCCAGTCCAGGCAGGATGAGGGGGGAGCAGGCAACTAAGTAGCAGCTAAAAACTGGTTTATTTCACCTCTCAGCTGATACTGGAGAGCCAGACTGGAATTGGTGTTCCTACTAGCGTGGAACTGCACAGAGTTCGTAAGGCTTTGGGACAACTGGTAATGCAAAGTTGCCTAGGGCACTGGGCGGGGGCTGTCCAGGGGGCACCGAGAAGGTAAAGCGTTGTAGGAGGCAGGTGAAGAAGAGGAAGAGCTCCATGCGGGCCAGCGGCTCCCCGAGGCATGCGCGGCGGCCTGTTGGGGGGAGCAGAGGTCAGTCAGTCTGGGCCTGATCAAAGCTTCAACATCCAAGGCACAATGGGATAGGCACAGGGAGCTGGGCCCCCCTAATCACCTGCGCCAAATGGAATGAAGGCCTCAGGCTTTAGGAAGCGGCCCTGGGCATCCAGGAAATGTTCGGGATGGAACTGGAGGGGCTTCTCCCAGGCGCTCTCATCCTTCAGCACCGAGGACAGGTTGGTGATGAGTGTCGTGCCCTGGCAGGAGACACATGGTGTGAACATGGACTGGGATGGGGACACCAGGACCCCGACCACTAAGTTTACATGCACAGACTCTACCTTCACACACCTGGATTCTTTCATCTAACTTTCAGCGCTTTCACGAATGTGAGGAAAAGGTCCTGTGATAAGGCTTCCATGGCTGCCCAAATGGCCTCTCTCTGTGTATACTGATTCCTCAATCCCCTGGACTCACTTTGGTCACCCCACTTACCGAGGGACTGTGCGGGCAATGGCTGCAGTGTACATGCACCACGTTGGTAGTGTCAGTCTGTTGGAAATCTAGGATGTGGAACTTTTGGGTATGGCCAAGCAGGGGAGGAGGACCCATGCCTACCTTGGGGATGACGAAGCCCTGTACTTCAATGTCACGAGATGTCATGTGTGGTAAATTCAATGGCGCGATGTCCCCAAATCGCTGCACCTCGTGAATCACAGCAGTTGTAAAGGGCATGCGGGCCTGGTCCTCCATCACTGGAGTCCGTGCCTGCCCTAAGACTTCATCGATCTCTTCTTGGACACGGCCTGAAGGGATATCATCTCCTCAGCAGAGAAGTCCCAGAGGACTGTCCTATGACCCTCTGCTTTCAGGTCTGGGTACAAGGGAAAAAGGCTCATCATACTAGTGGGAGTGTGTGTCAAGCTAGGAATGGGAGTTCCTGAATTGTCAAGGAAACAAGGGCGTTTGCTCCACCTTTCTTCCCATAACCTCCCACCAGACCCAGCCAGGCTCACGCTGCACATCTGGGTACAGGATCATGAGCAGCAGAGCCCAGGTCAGCGTGGTGGAGGTGGTCACCATCCCAGCAGAGAACAGATCAAGCACCACCATGTGCAGGTTTTCATCATTGAAGCTGCTCTCAGGATTTCCCTTAGCCTGGGCCAGAGAGGGTGAGCTCAGGGAGAGAAGGAGGAAGCCCCACATGATCCCCACTGTCTCCAGGCAGCCCAGGGTCTCAGACCCTGAGTGATTCCCAGCTCCCACCCTGCCTGGCCTCCGAAGTCTTGGACACTTCAGCAGACAGCTCGGGCACCTTCCCTGGCAGTTTCCCCTAACCTTCTTCACTTCCGCTACAAAGGCATCAGTCAGATGTCTGGGTGGCTGGGCAGGATCCCAGGTCATCTTATGCTCAGTCAACAGCTTATCCAGCATGTCCACAAATGCCTTCTGCTTAGGGAAGGCCTTGCCGGGCACCGCTGAGATGCGAAGGAGCATTGGGACTGCGTTCAGCACCTACAGCAGCCACAGAAAAGATTTGGTTGCTTTTAGCAATTGTGTGATTCAGTCTCATGAGCTGCTTCCTGCTCAGTCCCAGCGCTTAGGGCTCATGTCGACCTGGGCTAAGAGAGAGAATCCTGGACTCTGTAGTCTCGTAGGCTTCTGGAGCTTCTGTGCAGACACAGGGCACAGGCTCCACCCTTTCTGCAGCCCTTGAGCTTGGTTCCCTTCTCTCCTATACTGTGAGGTGTGTCAACTTCCAGGCCTTTCTTCCTACTGTTGACTCTCCACACTGCCCTCAACCAATCTCCAGTGCACGGAGAAACTTTCTGGGAGGATCAATGGCACAGAAATGACCTTGCAGACTCCCATGAACCTCATACCTCAGCAATGAAGCTAGTGTCCTCTTCTAAACTTTGTAAAATTAAAATGCATATCTACCCAGGTGTGATGGCCCATGGCTGTAATCCTAGAACTCTGGAGACTGAAGTAGGAGGAGTATCAGTTAGAGGCTAATATGGGCTAAAGTATGAGACTTTCTCCAAAAGTATACTGGATGACACATTACTGAAAGGCACTTAGTGTTGGACAAAACCTCTTACTTCAGGCCTAAGTACCACAACTTGGAACATTTCTTTCCATCTAGTTTTTCCTTTCCCACTTTCTTTTCTAACCATGTACGATCATTTTATGACTTTATTTGTTTTATTAATTGTATTGTTTAGAGATGTTGCTATCTACTGTAAGAAACATTGGCCATCCTCATCCTGAATTGGAAGAGAAAAATATTGTTGGGGCAGTTGATGAAAATGAAATTTGAACAATAGATGAAGTACTAGAATTACTAAAGTTGGTGACTGCTGTGGCTGTGTAAACAAGTGGCTCCATTCTTCAAATGTACAGTCTTAGAAATTGTAGGGGCCAAAAGACAGTACTTTAAATAGTTTGCCCTCCCATTCATTCTATAAAAAGTTTCATGTTAGTTTCTTGTCATCGTGACAAATACCTGATAGAAACAACATAAAAAGGGAAGGTCATTTTGTACTCAGCGTTTCCGAGGTCTCAGTCTCTGGTCAGCTGCCTACATTGTTTCTGCACTGGTCGTGAGGCAGAGCATCATGGCCTACGGGTGTGGCGCAGGAGTGGAGCAGAATGGGCAAGAGGGAGAATGAGTGTGTGTGTGTGTGTGTGTGTGTGTGTGTGTGGGTGAGAGAGAGAGAGAGAGAGAGAGAGAGAGAGAGAGAGAGAGAGAGAGAGAGTGTGTGTGTTGCTTAGTGTTGAACTTGGCCCTGACATATGCTGGGCAAACACTTTACCACTGTCTGCTGCCAGCGTGTGAGGTCTGCTACATCATGACTGGGGCACAACATTGAATTTTCTTAGTTCAGTAAAAGACTCGTATTGAACATGATCTTCCAGATGAGACCTTGCTAGACCCAGCAGTCCGTAGACAGGCCCCTTAGCATCCCAGTGTAGCGGAAGGAACTCAGTTCCTAGAATGTGCGATGAGGCTGAGACATCAGTCACATGAGATCGGAGCAGTGCAGAGCCCGCTCCACCTTGGGTTCCTGATGAAATGCTGCACTGTACACGGGACCCTGACTTCTCCCCATATCCCCGAGACTTCATCCACTGATGGGATCACAGGGACTTTGTCCCTCCGTGAATTCTATCCTGTCCAAATCCCAAACCGTCCTCCACATCCTGTCCCACCGCCTGGCTCTGACCCCCCACACTTTTGCCATTGAAAGTACAGAACGTTCCCAGACCTTGCAGTGCCCTCCCCCAGGAAGCCAGCTCCATGTCCAGCGTGTTCCTTCAGGACCACTGCTTGCTCCTAGGGGCACCGTCACTCTCACCTTGTACAAGCTGTACGGCATGTTCTGGAAGTCCACCTGCAGCAGGTTGCCCAGGGCAGGCACTGGCAGGGGGCCCGGTGGGTAGTGGGAAGTCCAGAACTTGCGTTGGTGCATCAGGTCCACCAGTAGCAGGAAGATGGCCGTGAATACAGCCACAGACCACAGTGAATCCCCAGCCACCCACCCCATGGCTGCCACACTGCTTTCTGGCCTCTGTGAGAAAACTTCACGCCAGCCACCCAGGAGCATAAAGAGCACTATTGCCACAGACTGGGCACCTGGTGCTTTATAAAGGAACCGAGGCTACCCTTTGTACTGTACCTTTAGCCGAGCCTAACTGCTGTGTTATTGATCAACCAGAGGGTACAGGAGTGGTCAAAGTGGTACTGCAGGGCAAAGTCTGAGTTTTCTGCCCTTTCTTCCCTGCCCAGGTGCTATGCAGAGAAGTGGCATCAACTGGGAGCTGAGCTCACAGGGCTGTGCCTAGTGGTTATGCTGTGCTGGACACTGAGCATGGTGGGCAGGTGTCCAGGGGACCCTGATCTGAGGTGCATTGTCACAAGGCATTGAGGGCGCATGAGGGGCTGACTGGCACTGCGGGCCTTGCTCCTGGTTGTGGCATCAAGTGCCACTGAAATGGCTGATGGGGGTGAGGAAGGGGACTTGGGAGGAAGGGAGCTGAGCCTGGGAAACTCAAGGGCAGGTTTGACAACTCTTGACTTGTCAATTCTTAGGTCCAGCATGAGAAGTTGAGAAAGTCCCTGGGTGGGAAGGATGGTGCAGGTCCTTGTCACATGGAAACAATGGTCCTTTGTTCATGCTCTGCCTCTTGCTGGGTCAAGTCTTCTGCCCACGGTCATCCTTACTAGGGATATAACGGGCAGTGTCCTCCTGCCAGAGGCCTGTGGTTAGGATTTGCCGGTCATGAGGAAAACTGGGAGATGAGGCCCGGGCCTTACCTAAGCGGCCTTATCTGCCAGGCCTGCTGGACTCCTCACTGCTCACGCCATCTCAGTTCTCCTCGCTGGGGTCGATGAAGCAGCGATCCCTGTCCTCACTGGGAATCTAGACGTGCAATATCAAAGGCCCACGTGTCCCAGCAGAATCCAGGCAGAGCGTCTCTGCTGCATCCTTCAGTGTGGCAGGAAGGAAGCAGCAGCTGAGGTCAGCAGAGATGAGCTCGCCACCACACAAGGCAAGAACTGCGATCTTCTCAGCCGCCCGTGCCGCCTCCTTCCCGTCTGCCCACCTCTTGTCACAGAGGTCTGGGGAGAACGCCCTTCCCGATGCTGGTCATCAGTGCCCAGGACACGCCCTCTGCTCCTGTCCAACTGAGTTATGGTAGGATGGCATCCTGAGTTGAGGTGCAGACAATGCCTTCCCATGGCTCCGACTTGGCCTGAAAAGAAACTCACAATGCACGGGAACAAGGACACCAGCATGGATGGGGAAGGGGAAGAGTAACTGTACTCTGGTCACCCGGAGGCTCAGACAGGTCACTTTCTCCTTGCCCGCCTAGGGACACTCCCAGGAAAACTTGATGCTTGAGGGCTAACCATAGTTGTTCATACCGACACACAGTCAGCCCTCCCTCATTTGTCCATCACTTTGGGGTGGCCTACATGAAGTCATGGAAGAGAAACAATGGTGTTGACTGGTTCTTGGCCTCCATGCGGGGTGGGCAGAGTGGAACCTGACTTACCTGCCTTTATCTAAGTGACCCTGGTGAGGTGAAGTATAGTAGTCAGGATTGGGACGGCACAGACTGCAACTCGTAAAGGGTCGTCTGGTCTGTCAGCAGCTCTTGGAGATGACCTGGATGCTTGCTGAACTTCTGTACACCAGGACTGTCTGTTTCCTTTCAACCTCATTTCATGCCCTGTGGTGACGGGAACTGCTATTTTTTTCTGTCAGGATCATTGTTCTTCCTATGGAGGTTCGTGTTATGTCTAAAACTTCAAGCCAGAGCTGAGTCCCGGCCACTTTGGGCAAGGTGCCCTCAGATTTGTAATACTCCTCATATGTCTGTCAATAAAGGCTTCAGCATTGTCCTTTGGACTTCAGGAATAGGACAACTGGAACCTGAGAGTCTCTCCAGGATTCTGCCCAGAGCTGTTGACTTAGCTGGCTTCATTCTGCATTGATGAACTATACTGAACCCCACAGTGAGTCCATCTGCATTCCTCCGTCTGTGAGTCCTTTCACTACTCGTTAGTGTGAAGTGCTGTTGCAGTTGACTTGTGAAGTATCCACCAGAAGGACTGAGACTATCTGAGAGTGCTGCCTTCCTCCCAGAACTTGATGGTAAGACGCTATTGCTGAAGACAGGACATATTTCAGACACAGGACTTGGGGAAATGGAGCTGGAACTGACCTGGAAGCCTCCTCCCCTGGAGGCTAGCTCTCATAGCTTTGGAGAGCACTACGTAAGCTGATAAGGGAGAACATCAATCGATGGTCCAACCCCAGCTTCAAGGCCTAATAGCTACATCAATGACTGGCACACCACTGACATCGGTGCAGTAGTGGCACTTTTATCTGGGGGTGATCAACAGCTACCTCATTGGACCTAAAGCCCACTCAGTGGGAGGAAGCTCATGTGTGGTACTGTAAACATAGCCAAATACACATGGCTGGAGAGGTCATAGATCTTAGAGAAAACCCCTAGTCCAACGTAATTTCTTACTATGGTAAAAACATGAACACTTACATTTACACACAAGTATCCCAGTCACCGCTCACCAAAGCAGCTTCATTTGCAGCAGACGGAGACTATTACATAGTGCCACCACTGGTCATACACAGAGATTGTCTGTGAATTGCCCAAGCCTAAATGGCACATCTACAGCGCAGCCTCTACACCTAAAGCTCACAGATCATAGAACAAGGGGTACAGAGAACACTAATGCATCTCTGAACTCTCATCAACGAAGCTCCCTCATGCAGCAGAGAGCCAGGAACACAAAAGGCCACCAATGGCCAAAGTGTCCAGAATAAGAGTCTGCAGAGTGTGGGTCCTTGGACAGGACTCCTATATTAAACTCCCCCGACCCAGGGCTCAGGGACCATTGTGGAACAGGGGACAGAAAGACTGTAGGAGCCAGGGAGGAGATGCATGACCACATGGAGATACAGTCCTACAGGCCCCTGAGACCGTGTGCATATGAACTGACAGCAATGGTGTCAGCATGCACAAGACCTATGCAAACTCAAGCAGACAAAACCCAGCACAGAACTGTGGAAGTGGGCAGCAGGCCCCGATCTTAGTTGAATAAACTATTGGCAGCTGATCACTGCTGGGGGAGGAAGAACTGGTCTTCTTAAAAGGAGAGACTCTATATAGGCTGCCTTGACCTCAGTAGATGAACTTGCACTAAGGGACGTCTGGAGACACTAACTTGACTCAATAGGACTTAACACAAATGACAGAATGTGTGAATTCCAGAGGGGGTGGGGAGTTATGGGAGGTGCCAATGGGGTTAGGGAGTATAAAGATGATTAAGATATCCTGTATGAAATACACAATAATTCAATACAAAAATTACCAAGAAAGGTCAGCTGCAAATCTGATGGGGTTTCTGATTCATTTGATTTATTTATGTATAATGTTGTTTTTCTCTTGCTGCTTTCAGCATTCTCTCTTTGTTCTGGACATTTAGTGTTTTTACCATGATATGCTGTGGGATTTTTGTTCTGGTCCTGTCTATTTGGTGTTCTGTGTACTTCTTGTATCTGTATGGGAATATCTTTCCTTAATTTAGGGAAGTTTTTATCTAAAATCCTGTTGAAGATCTGGGCAAAGCCATTGACCTGAGATTCTTCTCCTTCCTCTATATCTCTGATACATAGATTTTGTCTTTTCATGGTGTCCCACAATGCCTGAGTATCCCACTCATATGGGTCTCTTTAGTTTTTCATATTCTTTGCTTGAGCAGTCCAGTGCTCCAACGTGTGTCCATCCCGGGTTCCGTTTTTCATTTGACGCATTCTGCTGACGAGGTTTCTCCTGGCATTTCAAATTCGTTTTTCAATTCCATCTTCATTTCGACTTGATTTTTCTCAATATTTTTATCTCTTCCATGAATTTATTTTTTCAAATCCCAAACTGTCTTTGTCATTTCACTCAACCACATATTTGTATTTTCTTGAGTTTCAGTAGGATGGGTTTTTAAAAAATATTTTATTTATTATTTTTATTTTATGTGTATGCGTAAGTATTGCCTGCATGGAGGAAAGTGCACCCGTGTCGTGCAGTGCCCGCAGAGGACAGAAGAGACTGTCGGATCCCCTGGAACTGGAGTTAGGGACAGTTGTTAGCCGCCATGTGGGTGCTGGTATTCAAACCCTGTTCTTCTACAAGAATAGCCAGTGTTCTTAACTGCTGAGCCCTCTCTCCAGCCCCATAAAGATTTTTTTAAATATATTTTTATTGTTCTTTAAATTATGCGTATGTATGTATCTGTGTGTGTGTATGTGCATGTGAGTGCAGTGCCCCCAGAGGCCTGAAGAGGATCTTCAGAGACCAAAAGAGGGCATTGGATCCCCTGAAGTTGGAGTTACAGATGGTTGTTAGCCACCATGTGGGTGCTGGGAATCAAACCCAGGTCCTCTGCAAGAACAGTCAGTGGTCTTAACCACTGCGCCAACTCTTAAGTCCCCCAAGTTTCAGAAAGATATTTATTCATACACTCTTTAGGTTCTTTGAGTTGGTGTGTGTGTGTGTGTGTGTGTGTGTGTGTGTTCTTTAAAATCCTTGAATTCTTTGATCATGTTCATGATTGATCTTAATTTTAAGCTCTGTGTTCTGGAGTTCCTCTGGGTAGTTCTCATTGTAGGACAGTGTCTTGGTTTTTCATCTTGTCTCGTCTTTGCATGGTGACCTGAGTAATGGACTTCTTCTGTTGGCTGTATTTCTGATATAAATGCTAGCCTGTCTTTGTTGAGTGCAAGTTTGGTGCTGTTGAACGAGCTTGGTTACTTTCTCATCAGGTGTGAATTGAATTGTTAGTTGACCTATGCTTCAGGTTCTCACTTTTTGATTTTCATTGGCAGGACAGGGCTAGTTAAGGGATCTCCCACAGCATGAATAGGCCTAGCCCTGAAGCATGATGATGGTGACCAAGTGGGTGGGTGAATACTAGTTAAGCAGGGTGGACGTGGAGCAGTGTGAATGGGCCTAGCCCCTGAGCTCCATATACTTCTCATGGGAAAATGGAAGATGATGTGCTGTGTTCTAGGTTCTGTTGCTGTGGAAAAACAGTCTGACCAAAATCAACACGGGAGGAGGAAGGAGGTTATTTAGCTCACACTTGTACATCACAGTTCATCACCAAGGAATGTCAGGGCAGTAACTCAAATACTCTCTTACTCTGAGGTTTATTCTTTTGTGTGTTTCTGAGAGAGAGTCTCACCAAGTAGCCCTGGCAGCCCTTGTGCTCTCTATAACCCATGCCTACTCTGAAATTACATTGTTTCTGTCTCAGTCTCATGAGTGCTGAAACTGTAGACCTGTTACACTGTCTCGGCTCAGCACACCCTTTTTTTTTTGGTCTTTTTGAGACAGGGTCTCCCTGTAGCCCCAGCTGTCCTAGAACTCATTATGTAGACCAGGCTGGCCTTGAACTCACAGAGATCCGCCTGCCTCTGCCTCCCAAGTACTGGGATTAAAGGTGTGCGCCACCATGCCCGGCCATTATCAGTACACACTTTTGTCATAACATTCAAGGTGTCCATGGGGGAAGGACGACATAGTGTGCAGTGGTTTCTAGATGACCTGGTCTTACTTTGGTCATCCCACTTCCCTGGGAACTCCCCAGGCCATGACTGAATTGCAAATAAGTCAGGGTGGTCATGTAGGTATGCTAGAAATTCAGGATGTCAAATTTTTATCTTGGGTGTGGCCAGGCTGAAGAGCAGGATCCAAGACTACCTCGGGGATGAGAAGCCCTGTATTTCAATGTCACGAGATGTCATGTGTGGTAAATTCAGTGGGGGATGTCCCCAAATCGCTGCACCTCGTGAATCACAGCACTTGTAATGGGCATGGGGGCCTGGTCCTCCATCACTGGAGTCCACACCTGCCCTGTGATTTCACAGATCTCTTGTTGGACATGGCCCGAAGGGACAACATGTTCTCAGAAACAGTCTGGCTTTATGGGAAAAAGGTCTATCACACTTGTGTAGTATGTGGCAAGGTAGTGCTGGGAGTTCAAGATTCCCAAGGAAATCTGGGGCGTTTGGTCCACCTTTCCTCCTGTAATCTCTCTCCCAGACCCAGGCAGGCTCACACTGCACATGCGGATATAGGATCATGAGTAGCAGGGCTCAGGTTAGCGTGGAGGAGGTGGTCACAATCCCAACAGAGAACAGGTCAAACACCATGAGCAGATTCTCCTCATTGAAGCTGCTCTCAGGAGTCTCCTTAGCCTGAGCCATAGAGGGTGAGCTCGGAGAGAGAAGGAGGAAGCCCCACATGATCCCCACTGTCTCCAGGCAGCCCAGGGTCTCAGACTCTGAGTGATTCCCAGCTCCCACCCTGCCTGGCCTCCAAAGTCTTGGACATTTCAGCAGACAGCTCAGGCACCTTCCCTGGCAGTTTCCCCTAACCTTCTTCACTTCCGCTACAAAGGCATCAGTCAGATGTCTGGGTGGCTGGGCAGGATCCCAGGTCATCTTGTGCTCAGTCAACAGCTTATCCAGCATGTCCACAAATGCCTTCTGCTTAGGGAAGGCCTTGCCGGGCACCGCTGAGATGCGAAGGAACATTGGGACTGCGTTCAGCACCTACAGCAGCCGCAGAAAAGATTCAGTTGCTTTTATCAATTGTGTGATTCAGTCTCATGAGCTGCTTCCTGCTCAGTCCCAGCGCTTAGGGCTCATGTCGACCTGGGCTAAGAGAGAGAATCCTGGACTCTGTAGTCTCGTAGGCTTCTGGAGCTTCTGTGCAGACACAGGGCACAGGCTCCACCCTTTCTGCAGCCCTTGAGCTTGGTTCCCTTCTCTCCTATACTGTGAGGTGTGTCAACTTCCAGGCCTTTCATCCTGCAGATGACTCTCCACATGGCCCTCAAACAATCTCGAGTTCATGCAGAATCTTTCTGGACGATCAAGAGCACAGAAATGACCTTGCAGACTCCCATCAGCCTCATACCTCAGCAATGAAGCTAGTGTCCTCTCCTAAGCTTTCTGACATCGTTTTTAGCAACTTTATGAAGTAACAGTCTTCATGCTCAAAGTGAGGGCCACAAATGAGGGACGCAATCACATTGCACAAGGCTTTGTTCAGGGCTTGTGGGGATTGAAGGCCCGTCCTGGGAGTAGAGATGCATCTCAAGATACTGTTCCCATATCCCTGTCCATACATGTACCCCTGACCCATTACCCACTGGCCTCATTGTTGAAGACACCACGTAGGTGGTCAGAGTCCTCGATGATCCACTGCTCCAGTGATTTCTTGCCCAGGCCGAAGTTGCGCATGGTGGACACAGAGAATCCCTGCTGTTCTCTCCACTCAGGCCCTAAGATGCAAAGATCACACGTGCAGAGAGCAGTCTGTGTGACCAAGAGCACCTGGCTGTGCTGTCCTCCTTCCTTAGCATTCATTTTTTTCTCTTGGATCACTTTCCCACATGAGCTCCCCAAAACTTTGGTGACACAGACTAGCACCTTTGGTAGAGTCCTTCCTGAATCAGGTGACCATATCTCACCAGATTAGGCTCTATTCATGCGGCTCACTGCTCCCCAAGCCCATCCATGATGCCGTCCCTGTCACCCCACTACAGCACTTTGCCTTGGGATCTGGGCCCTAAGCCGAGGTGTTCATAGATGGGAAATAGTGGACGGTCTGAGGTGTCCTCTCCACAGTTCACCAGCACTTCCCGCACGGCCTTCGGTCCGTTGATCACCACCACTGGCTTCCAGGCCATCTGCAGGCTGAACACGTCACCAAAGCGGTGCCGCAGCTGAAGTGGAGGGTCAGAGCACATGTGACATACAGGTCAGCAGCACACTATAAGAACCAGGCTCACTATA